AAAGTCTCAAAATTGATATTAAGAGTTATTGTAATAAATATGAAAGAGGTTTGTTCATATTAGTAAAAGTTATTTAGCAATAATGTTAAAATTCTTTTTCACGTTATGTAAATTGAATTTTTTAAAAAATAATATAACTTATAAGTGAATTTTTATTTGTTTTAAATAAAATATTTTATAAATAAAAGAAATTTAAATATTTTATTCAAATATAAAAGGAAAAAATGGAATTCTCAAGAAATTAAGGTCATGTTAATTAAGGAGGAAGGGAGGTTAAAGAAAATAAAGAATAATTCAATTCATCTCATGACTCATGATGGAACCAATACTAGCAAAAGCAAGCTAGGTAAGAAGAACAAGGGGAAATTTCAATTAAAGGTTAAAGATGGAGAAGTTCGTAAGAAAAAAAAATGCTACTTTTATAAAGCAAGTGGTCACTTTAAAAGGACTACCCGAGAAGAAAGAAATGGTTTAAAAAAAGATATATTTTATATATTTGTAATAAATCTTGTTGAGGTACCTAATAATACCCAGTGGCTTGATTTTGGAGCAACTACTCATATGTCACATATTGTGCAAGGATTCCTTTTGATCCAAACCATAAGAGGAATTGAAAAGTTTCTCTATTTAGGAAATAAAATGAAGGTAAGAACAAAGGTCATTGGGGTGTATAAATCAATCTTTGAAACAAGGTGTCATGTAGATTTGAAATAATGTCTCTATGTACCTGGATGTGCTATGAATTTAGTTTATGTTGCAAAGTTGGATCAATTAGGTATTAGTTTCAAGATTGTAATGATGTATTTTCTATGTTTAAGGATATGTACTATTATGGATCTGGTACTTTAATAGATGGTTTGTGTTGTTTCAATCTAGATGTAAAGTTTAAAAAATCAGTTTAATGTTGAATATGTTGTTAGTAGCAAACATATTATACATGATGATAGTTTTGTTTATTTCTGGCATTAAAGATTAGGTCATATTTATAAAGAAAGGATAATGAGGTTAATGAAAAATGAAATTTAGCCTTAATTGGATTTTAGCGATTGGGATATATGTTTAGATTATTTTAAAGGAAAACAAACTAAACAAATATCAAAGAATTTTGCTATAATAAGTAATGAACTTCTAGGATTGATACACATTGATATTTGTGGACCTTTTGACATTCCATCTTGTGGTGGTGAAAAGTATTTTATCACATTTATTGATGACTTTTCACGTTATTGTTATTTATATTTATTGCATAAAAAGTCTCAATCAGTGGATGTCTTAAAGGTGTTTATTAATGAGGTAAAAAGACAATTAGATAGAATAGTGAAAGCTGTAAGGTTTGATAAATGTGACGAATTTTATGAAAATTTTAATGAAAAAGGACAATGTCGAGGTCCATTTGCTAACTTTCTTAAAAGTACAGGCATATGTGCATAATATACTTACTATGTCTGGCACACCGCAACAGGATGGTGTGGCCGAAAGGTAGAATTGTACTCTAATGAACATGGTTAGGTCTATGCTTTATAGGGTTCCTAATAAGGCAATTCCTACGACCCCTTGTGGATTGTAGATATGAAGGAAACCCAACTTAAGGCATCTCTGTGTTTGGGGTTGTTTGGCAAAAGTAAAGGTATATAATCCACATGAAAATAAGTTTGATGCAAGAACCATTAGTGACTTCTTCATTGGGTATTTTGAAAAGTCCAAAGGTTACAAATTCTATTGTCCTAACCATAGTACAAGAATAGGTAAGTTTGGTGATGTTAGGTTCATTGAGAATGAAAGTTTAGTGGGAGTGAGAAATCATGAGTGGTGGATATTGTAGAGACTCTTGGTAAATCTTCTTCACCTATGGTTTGTCCTCAAGATGTTGTTTCTCTGATTATATTACAATTAAACAACACATAAAGATAACATGATCATATTCAAAACCCATAAAATGAACATATTGGTAATGAACCAATAGACAATATGCAAGACACAAATGAACAAGTGATAAAAAAGTGCCAGAAATAACACCAAGGAGTTTTGAAAGGATAAAGAGGCCACTATTTTAAGTGATTATGTTGTGTATTCACTTGAATATGAATGTGAATTGAGAAATAATAAAGATTTAGTCTCATTTAGACAAGTCATGGAAAGTGACAATTATAAAAAGTGGTTTAATGCAATGAAAGAGGACTTAAAATCAATGGATGACAATGAAGTATAGGATCTAGTTAAATTGCTTGAAGGTTCAAAATAAGTTGGTAGTAAATGGGTCTTTAAGACCAAACATGACTCAAAAGGAAATATTGAAAAGCATAAAGCTAAACTCATTGTCAAAGGTTTCACTCAAAAAGATGACATTGTTTATAAATAAACCTTTTTTCCAGTTTCTAAGAACTCTTTGAGAATTGTGTTGGCTTTGGTGGCTTATTATGACTTAGAGCTTCACCATATAGATGTAAAGACTGCCTTTCTAAATGTTGACTCAAAGGAAGAAATGAACCAACTTGAGGGGTATGTTTCTATAGGAAAGGAAAATTTGGTGTGTAAATTAAAAAAGTCAATATATGGACTAAAATAGACTTCCAAACAATGGTATCTTAAATTTAATAACACCATTACGTTGTATAGTTTTGTAGAGAACACTATTGATTAATGTATCTATATGAAGGTTAATGGGAGCAAGTTTGTAATTTTAGTCTTATATGTTGATGATATATTGCTTGCTGCTAATAATGTTTTTATATTACATGATGTATATAAATATTTCTCTAATAACTTTGAAATGAAAGATATGGGTGAGAGATTTTATGTGATATGAATAGAAATATTTCGTGATAAATCACAAGGAGTGTTGGGATTGTCTTAGAAATGATATATCAATAAGGTGTTAGAGAGATTCAAAATGGAAAAATGATCTGTATAGATTGTTCCAATTCAGAAAAGGGATAAGTTTAGTCAAATGCAATGCCCTATAAATGACTTAGAACAAAAGGAAATGATGTCTATCCCTTATGCATCAGCTGTTGGGAGATTGATATATGTCGAGATATGTACTCAATCATATATTAACTTTGTTGTAGGAATGTGGGACCGATATCAAAGTAATCCTGGAATAGATCATTGGAAAACTACAAAGAAAGTTCTTAGGTATTTACAAGGCACAAAGGATTACATGCTCACATATAAGAGGTCAGATCATTTTGAAGTGATTGACTATTTGGATTCAGACTATGTTGGATGTGTCGACTCAAAAAATTATACATTTGGGTACATCTTTCTTTTAACTGAAGGAGTGGTGTCATGGAAAACTGCAAAACAATTTATGATTGCCACTTCTACCGTGGAGACTTTGTCGCATGCTTTGAGGCCACATTTCAAGCATTATGGTTGTGAAACTTTACTTCAGGATTTGGTATTATTAACAATATAGCTAGACCACTAAGGATTTATTGTGATAATACTGTAGCTATCTTCTTTTCTTAGAATGACAAATACTCTAAAGGAGCAAAACATATGGATTTAAAGTTTTTGTCAATTAAAGAAGAAGTGCAAAAACATAAAGTGTCTATTAAGCATATTGGTACAAAATTAATAATAACGAATCTGTTGACTAAAGATTTACCACCCAAGATATTCATTGGCCATGTTGAAAGGTTAGGTATTATCGATAAGTCCTTGTTAACAATGTAGTGTGATGTGTGTGAATACACACACACACACATATTACAGTTATAATGCTCATATTGTATGATACTTGTGAATTCAAGTATAGTTGTTTATGTTTATCTTATCATTCTCATTATATGATATACATTATTATTTTAGTGAAATGATAAAATGTATCTTAGAAAGGATGACAAAAGACACACATTACAATATTAATTAAAGTTGAGTTGAATTGAATGATTTGTGATACATGGAAGAAACCAAGTTAAAATAACTTGCAATCACTATGATTCAATCATTTTAATTTAATTAAGGATGGTGACTTGTTATTTTAACTTATAGTGCACATTTTAACTTATAGTGCACTCTTACAGTTTATTGTTGAATCTTCAAGTCATCACATAAGCCAAGTGAGAGAATGTTAAATTATTTAATCTAATATTAATTCATGTATTTAAGGAATGAATTTTAATGAAAAGATGCTAATGTGATGATTGCTAGATTTAAAATATATTAAGCGTCATTGAAAATTATTTTAAAGTTATTAAAATTAATTTCCTCTTTTTCACTTCATTAAGGGTAATTTTAGCAATAAAGAAAAATAATTTGAAAAATAAAGTTATGGAAGTTAAGAGGTGGTTTTACAAAAAGAAAATCTCTCTCTCTCATGACTATGGAATGTTGTTATTCTCGTAAGAAGTTTTTGTGAAAAATTAGAGAATTGTCGAAAATCAAACAAATTTTTTTTTTAACAATCATAAAGACTAAGTAAAGGAAGAGAAGAAATAACATCTTATTAAATTTTAAATTCTATTATAGATCTCAGTATATGTTCTAAATTTCTTATAAAAATTACAGAATTTAAAAATAATTATATTATCTAAAATTTTAGCAAGGTAATCCCTTTAAACAATGATTTTTATGAAATTACACATGATGATAAATTTTGTTAAAAGAGGAAACTCCAACAATCATGTTTTACTGTTGGTAGTTGATACTATAGGAATTTCGATACCTAATGTTGGGAGTCTCGACTTATTTGGTTTTGTTGATCTTCTTGTCTGATTTGTTCTTTTTTTACTCATGTAACAAAAAGTTATATATATATATATAAATATATATAAATAATAAAATTATAATTATTCAATATTTAGATATATAAATAAAAAATAATGCAATAGGATAAGATTAATGTTTTTTTATTTATTTATCATAGTTTTGATAAAAGTATTCCCCAACTTTGTTGAGAATAGTCTTTAAGAATAAAAACCTTAACTGTATTAAAACTATTTTTCTAAACATCATTTTTTTTAATTAAACTTAAATTCAAATTCGAAACCCAAAAGTTTAGGAACGAGATGAACCTCGGTTAAACTTGTCCGAGGAGAGTAATCTTATTGGTTGGGAAAGTAATTTACTCGTAAATAGAAATTTATCAATTTCAAAGAATTTTTGGTGGGTTTTGGTTAGGTTTTATGAGGTGAAGAAGAAGACAGGAGCAAGGGTTGGGGCGAGATGGGAAGAAGAAACGGTGGCAGGTCTCTGCAAGAAACTCTCCGCCGTCGACTTGACTCTTGCAAGTCCAAATACTCCACCGCCGAAGAAATCGCCACCCATCTCCGCTCAACTTACCCCGATTACCACCGAACAAAGCACCAAACCCTAATTCGATTCGTTCAGGAAGCTCTTCACTCCGCCGCCAAGCCCGATCACATTCCCACGCTCAAGCATTTTTCCGACGATGACGACGACCGAGACTTTCCAAGCCCCTCTCCGAAAAGACGGAAGGAAGAGGACGAAGACAGGGAAGAAGCGGTGGTGTCGTCTTCGGAGGATGCGGTTTTCGGGAAGAAGATGGAACCTGAGTTCGGCTTGAGGAAGACGGTGCTGCGAAACTCGTATAAGAAGATTGCGGCGGAGGAGAAGAACGTGGAATTGGAAGTGGGGGGTGGCAGGAAGGGTATTGTTGCTAGCAGTGTTGTGAATGAGGAAAGGAAGGAAGTGAGGGGTTCGGTTTCGAACGGTGAGGTGAAGGGGAAGGATGGACCTAGGTTTAGGGATTTGGGTGGGATGAAAGAGGTTTTGGAGGAATTGAAGATGGAAGTGATTGTGCCTTTGTGCCATCCCCAATTGCCTAGACAGTTAGGTGTGAGGCCAATGGCTGGCATTTTGTTGCATGGACCACCTGGTTGTGGGAAGACTAAACTTGCACATGCTATAGCTAATGAGGCTGGTCTTCCTTTCTATCACATTTCAGCTACTGAGGTTGTTTCTGGAGTCTCAGGTATTATACTGTTACCTGCTTGGACTTGGATTTGTGCTTAATTCACTTGTATTAGTTCTAACTTGAAGTGCTTAAGGATAATCCTTTTTCTAGAGTAGAGTTTTAAATGACTTAAGAAGAGCATGGTTGATTTTCCGTTGAGAAGCTTAAAAAATGACACTAGACATTTAGATTGGGGTGAACATGCATTGGGACACATGTGAACTGAAATCCACATACAGCTGGTGACTGTAGAGTGCTTGTGCTTTTTTTATTTTTATTTTATGATTAGTTAGTTTCGTTGTTTTTGTTACTATCGTGAAATGATTTGGATGTGTTCTATTAAGTATTTGTGTATTTTGTGGCTAGGTGCATCGGAAGAAAATATTAGAGAGCTTTTCTCTAAGGCGTACAAGACTGCGCCGTCGATTGTCTTTATTGATGAGGTTGATGCAATTGCTTCCAAGAGAGAGAATTTGCAGCGTGAGATGGAGAAACGAATTGTGACGCAATTAATGACTTGCATGGATCAATCAAATAGGCTTCTTCAAAAAGGAGACGAGTCAGAGAGCTCCGATGGTCAACATCCTGGATATGTTCTTGTCATTGGAGCTACAAATAGACCTGATGCTGTTGACCCTGCCCTGAGAAGGCCTGGACGGTTTGATCGTGAGATTATCATTGGCATTCCCAATGAATCTGCCAGGGAGGAGATCCTTTCCACGCTTACTAGCAATCTTAAAGTTGAGGGATTATTTGATCTACGGAAAATAGCCAGGGCTACACCAGGATTTGTTGGTGCTGATTTGGCAGCTCTGGTTAACAAGGCTGGTAATCTGGCAATGAAAAGAATAATTGATGAAAGGAAACGTGAATTATCTCAAGTTCTCATGAATGAGGGTGATGAAGACTGGTGGAGAGAACCTTGGTTGACTGAAGAAATAGATAAGCTTGCCATCAAAATGTCCGATTTTGAGGTGCTTTATATTTATGTCCTTGTTTACTTGTTCTTATTATTTGTAATCCACTAGACCTTTTTTGTAGGTTTGTGTCACTTATCATCGCATCTATTATGTGTTAATCCCAGCTTTTACTACCCTATGTTTGAGAGGATATCTTATCCTCCACCTCTTCTTGCTATCAATTTTTTTCTCTCTTTTATGATCTGTCTTAGCTTTTCCTTGAATATTTAGATGCCTAAAATATCAGTCATTACATTTATCTGGGCATGTATGTAGGAAGCAGTCAAAATGGTGCAACCTTCATCAAGAAGAGAAGGTTTCTCTTCCATTCCTAATGTAAAATGGGAAGATGTTGGAGGGCTTGATTTTCTAAGACAGGAGTTTGAACGTTATATTGTAAGGCGTATAAAATACCCTGATGATTATGAGGTAATCATTAAATACTAACTTTTTAAATATTGCGATTTCTGTTAAATTCTATTTGTCTTCTATTTTCTTTGTCTCTTGATTTTTTATAAATGTTTTTTTTTTAATTTTTTAATTTTTTTTTTATTTTATCACAATTCACGTTACCCAAACCTCTTGCTGAAATTTATATGCATGTATGATTAGATCTATATTGTCTGCATCTCTGTTATAGGGATATGATTTTGAGTAGATGTAATAATATGTTAGAATCCAATTTCAAGGTATGGGACTTGAGTTCCACATGAGATTCTAAAATGGGGTTTGTAAGGCCTTGGGTTCTTGAGTGCTACATAGTTAAGTCATGGCACAAAAGTGGTTGGTCTTGTATAATCTGTCTTTATTTCTTTCTAACTGATAATGTCACTCTCTTTGCCATTGAACAGTTGTGATGAAATATGCTGCTATGGTGTTAATTGTGTGAATTTTATAAGTTATTTTCTTAATATAAAGTCCGGTGATTGGTGAGAATTATCATTATATTTTTTTTTCCCTCAGGTTATAGTACTATGCAATAGGGATTTTTGGAATAACTGATAATGATGGTATTACACTAATCTAGATCAACATTACAAAATATCTGATCAATGTTCAATAATTTCATAGCTTTATATTTAAGTTCTCTTGATAAGTTTCATACTCTTTTTCTAAAAGTTGATAAACTGATTTGTCTTTGCTGTTTAAAGAAAGCATAGTAATTAGTAAGTTGTATATCACAGTCTGATCACTGTTCTTGGAATCATTTATTTCAGGGACTTGGGGTAGATCTTGAGACAGGATTTTTGCTTTATGGACCTCCTGGTTGTGGTAAAACACTGATTGCCAAAGCTGTTGCCAATGAGGCAGGGGCTAATTTTATTCATATTAAGGTATGTCTAAAAACTCCACCCTTTTCTCTTTAGTTTTGATTGTCTTACAAGGACATTCCTCTGGTTTGAATAAATCATCTTTTAAATAATTAAATTGCTTTTTTATTTATTTTTTTTTATTTTAGGGACCTGAACTCTTAAATAAATATGTTGGAGAAAGTGAGCTTGGAGTTCGGACAATGTTTAGCCGTGCAAGGACATGTGCGCCTTGTATACTTTTTTTTGATGAGGTTTGTGGTTCTTTTCTTAAGAATATTGGTGAACTTGAATGTTTGTCATGACATGTCAATTTTATTTCAAATTTGTAACTATACAAGAAAATATTATTGTTTGGAATATTCTTTCTTTGGAGGAACTATCCTGCACCACCATTTTTTATTTTTGTTTATTTATTTATTGCAAAGTAAATCTTTTTTTCTCTCTCTCTCACATAAGTGCAGTGATCATTGTTTGTATTTGGTGCTTACTTGGTGAACGAGTTACGTTCAAGACTTGTGTGGGTATCTGTTATTAATTTCCTTCTTAGAATTTCCTTGATCTAAGAAGGACTCAAACAAGTTCTCAGCAAACAATTTGTTATAGAATGGTGTATACCAGTGTACATAGTTACAACGAGTGTTACATTTTTTTCTTTTGCTATTTTCAGGTGGATGCTTTGACAACCAATCGTGGTAAAGAAGGTAGTTGGGTTATTGAACGACTGTTGAATCAGGTCAAATAATTACTAGTCCTTTTTGAATTAGAAAAACAGGGCCATTTTAACCGATAACAATGTATAATGACAGTTATATGAAATTGCAGTTGCTTGTTGAGTTAGATGGGGCAGAGCAACGGCGAGGCGTTTTTGTTATTGGTGCTACAAATAGGTACATTTTGTTCACCATATCTATTCTCTAATTAGTTATTTAACTTCACATCACACTATTTAAGTCAGTTTCTTATTTTGCAGGCCTGAGGTGATGGATCGTGCTCTCCTACGGCCTGGTAGGTTTGGTAAACTTCTTTATGTTCCACTTCCAGGCCCAGATGAACGAGTTTTGATATTGAAAGCTCTTGCAAGGAAGAAGCCTGTTGATTCCTCTGTGGATTTGAGTGCTATAGCAAAAATGGAAGCTTGTGAAAACCTAAGTGGCGCTGATCTTTCTGCATTGGTTTGTCTCTGCTCTTTATTGATGTTGCCTCTTTCATCCCTTTACCATTATTGAATGTTATGTGTACGTATGTATATACTACATAGTTTTTGATTAATGGTGGTACAAGGGTAGGACTAAAAAAAAAAGTGGAGAGTCAATTTGTGAGATTTACTGATTTTATTGAATATACAGATGAACGAGGCAGCAATGGCTGCACTTGAAGAGAAATTGACTGAGACAACTTACGATACAGTGACCATCAAGAAAAATCATTTTGAGGTAGCACTGAGTAAAGTCTCTCCGTCTGTGTCAGACAGGGTAAGGCTTATGCTTTATATTTCTTTCACACATGAAATCTCGTTTCTTATGGTGAATAAAATAGTTTTAGAAATTTACATTCAAATTTATTTCGATTTTTGGAGCAGCAAAAGCACTACTATCAGCACTTGTCAGAGAGCTTTAAAGTAGCATGAGCAGCATGGCGTTGACTTTTTTTAGTCGGTGATGACATTATTTTATGCTTTGTTTGGGGGAGGAGGCAAAATTGAAGTAAATGAAAGAGAATAGGTGATAATTGATTTGATAAGAAATAGGTAAGAAATAGAATTGAATTTGTAGTTGTTTGTTAGATTAAAATTACGTGAGAAATAGTGAAAAATTAGTATTTTAAAATTGTATTTTATATAGTTAGATCATTATAAAATAATATAAATACCTACCATTTTACCCTTCTTTTTATGTTGACATATAATATTGGAATTTCAATTTTTTTTTATATATAGTTTAGTAGCATAATCAGTTATGTTAGTTTACATGGCTGATTTTGCTACCGTAGCCCGTTTTTGTACTAGCTACATAATGCATTACTATCATAACAGGTGAATATGGCACCTAAAGTTCAAGACTAGGTGTAGCGTGTGTTTAGAATCATAATAAACAAAAGGAACCAAAATATATGGCTTCCATTCATGTAATTGTCATATTCCTTAAACATGGTAGAAAGACCAAGCTATTCCATTTATTCAGTGATAGTGTTGGACCAGGAGTACAATAGTATTGTATTATCACTAAAATTACATATTTGATGTCGATGTGATATTAGTACCAGAGGTTATTGCAGAAAATAGTATAACTCATCTCACAATAGAACAAAAATTGCAGATGGCTTTTTGGTAGGCCCAGGACGGGTCAAAAACCTGTGGAAGAGGGCCAATTTTATTTTCTTATTCGATAATTATTTGAAAATTTATCTGCTAACATATAATTATTTAGTAGATAATAATTTTTAGAGTATTTATTAGATTACATATATAATTAAAAAATGATTTTTTTCAATAATTTAAAAAGTATTTTAATTTGTTACAAAAGATTGTTATTAAAATTTCTTCATATTATGCTTTATATTTTTTTTTTCCAAACTTTAAAAGAACTTTTAATTTAATGAAATAATCAAACACAATTTACAATCATAGTCTCGCAATAAATAATAAAAGAAATTCATGAAATATAATAATAATTAAAAATCATCAAATCTTATAATAGTAATATAAAATAAATATGTTTGTAATATAATAATATGATTAATATAGATAATAAAATATATGTAGGAAACATGTGGAGGGGAGAGGGTGGCGATGAGACCTGAAAAATTAAGTAGTTTAATAATATAAGTGTCTATAATCTCTTGGTTAGTTATTATATAATATGTATTTTAATTTTTATAATTTACAAGAAAAAATTAATAACACATAGGAAGACTTGCCTGGACCCTCCTGGCTTTGTTTTCTCTCTCCATCGTGTGATCTGTGTCTCTAGTACTTACTCCAATTGCAAGTCATGGTAACTTGGAGAGCTGATTCTCTGTTTCTCTCTTGTTTATAGTTGAGTTTCAATTATTCAGTTCTTGTAAAGTCTTACAACTCAAAGGTAGAAAAGATACATGCATGGAATGACCATTTTCTAAATGACTTGGTGATGGAGGACCCTTGGTACTTCATGCGAGACCCATCACATGGTTTACGACTAGGAGGATGGAGAGATACCATGTATGGATCTATCTTTTAGGCCCAATTTGAGTAGTATAAAATTTTATTGTTTTATTCCAATTTTACCCTTGTACTTTAGGATATTTTAGTCATAGAATTTATTTTACTTGTATTTCTAATTTTACCCTTGTATTTTGGGGTATTTTAGTCATATAATTTATTTTCTTTTGTATTTCTCATTTTACCCTTGTATTATGGGGTGCTCTAGATGATTAGAGTTTTAATTTTTGGGCTAGGGTTTTAAATTAGGAGGTGACGCATGTTTTTGGTGTTCTTGGACTTATTTTTGGACTTAGAAAGGCTTAGGCCCAAGTGGAGAACAATGGTTGCATGGTCTTATCATGCACCTAAGTGTAGCCTAACTAAACTCAAAGATTCCATCCTTGGCCACCAAGTTACATCTAGGGTTAATTTGAATTTTATTTAGGTGCATTTTGCATTGTGAATTTCAGCCATGCACTCTCCAAATGCAATCCTAGATGCCTCCTACTCCTATAAATACCCAATGCACCACACCTTATAGATACTTTGAATTATATGAATTTGAGTGAAAATTTTTGCCTCAAATCCTCTCTTTAGTCACTAGGTCAATTCGGCCTACCTCTCGTATCTCCTCCTTAGAGTGAGTTTAGGGATACCTTAAATGGCCTTCACCTCCACTTAGTGAAGAGAGCCAACTAGAGCACCCAAAATACCATCCTTCCTTCATTTCTCATATTCGCCCAAGCCATCACCATCTACACCCACCTTCCTTTTTGCCTCACCCTTGAAGGACATCCACCCCCGAAGGTCACTATCTTGGCCTTAGCAAGGAGCTCCTCTTCACCATTGACGTTTGTTCATCCTTTGGTGGAAGGAGTCCATCACTTGGTCTAACAATTGAAGTGAAAATATTAATTGGGTAGAAGTGAGTGAAAGCTACGTATGAATAATATTAATAACAATTTTTCAGAACAAATATTATCATGTTAGCTGGGTAGAAGTGAGTGAAAGATACATGCTAACTCTGTTGTATAAATAATATTAATAACAATGTTTCAGAATAAATATTATCATATTAGGTTGTACAACAAAAATAGATCCTGCATACAATCATTCCATGCATCTAAATGCCCAAGTTAACTCCACACTTATCATAAACTAAAAGGGCAGGAAAGAAATAGAAAGTACAATAAAAGTTTTAAAAAATGCCATTCCTATCAAATGTGCAAGACTTTATTAAACACGTGAATTTTCTAGAAAGAAAAGAATCAAAGTCCTAGAACAACAATATACAACCTCAAACTCCCAACATTATTTCTGAAAAGAATAAATTCTTAACCAATTTCTGTATTGTCGTGTCCGACATGTTGACGTAAAATCTATCATGTATCTAGTATCAACTCATTTTCATCTTAAGGAACAGACCAAGAAGTAAATCATATTTGACCATCAAGAGTCTAATATGTCTCTCCATAAAATTAAAGTCCACATACACACAGATGATAATCAAAAGGATAAAACGTGTACTTAAAAACGCAACCCGGTGCACCAGAGATAAAGTTAATAGAGTTCGTGAAGGGTAAATATACGTAGTCCATGAATAAAAAATAAAAACATTAAATAAGTGAATAATTAACAAATAAATCACTTAAAGTTCCAACCGAAACGCCCAACATTAATATTAAGGTTAAACATATTATTTAATCATTACATATGTTGTAAATTTTCAATTCAGTTCCTATATGTAAAAATTTATTAAATTGGTCCCTATTCCTATAAACATTTCCGATTTGGTCCTTAGAACCATCAATTCCTTTATATATTCTTAATATATTTCCAATTTGATCTTTATATATGTAGCACATTTTAAATTTGGTCTTTATGCAATTAACACATTCTTAATTTCATCTTTTACATGTTGAGACCGAAAGAAGAATACATCATATAGAAGGACCAAATTAATATTGTTACATGTATGTAGACCGATTTAACAAGTTTTTATGAATAGAGAGCAAATTAAAAATTTTCCTAAGGACTAATTTATATATTTAGCCTAATATTTTTTAAATACATAAACCTAATATAAAAATCTTACAAGCAAAACATCACTCACACAGCATCAAATAAAGTCTTATTCTAGAATACATAAATCCGCATGTCAGCATGTTAGCCCGCAACCAAATATAGCCCACGAATTACACACTTCGGGCTAAAAAAGACTTGCATCCAATTATTCTCCAATTTTGCTTTAATGAAAAGAAACAAATGTATAAGAGTATGCTTAAATAGAAAAGACTAATTTTGTGTTCCATTTGTCTTACGCAGAATTGAAAGCAGTCTTTTGCGTGATTCTTTCTTATTCCTTATCTTGTTTTAGTTCATCTAACCTAAGGGAGTTGTCTAAGCAAACATTTGTCTTTCAGTATCTTGTTTTTACGATACAGACAGAGCATTCCATCAAGTATCAATTATTAAGTTTTGTTCTTTAGAAACAGATTTCCATAAAAAATAAAAAATAAATAATTCAATTCCTATATTTTATCGTGTCTTGCAATTTGGTATCGAAGTTTAGCCTTTAAATGTTGAGCACCTTATGTGTTAGAGGTAAAAATCTACCAATCATTTCAAATCTCGAGAACCAACTTAATTTGAATAAGCTTCATTTACTAAACCCCCTACCTTATTTGGAGAGGACTATCCTTACTGATGAGATCACATAAAAATGTTTATCAACTCAACACAGTATAATATGAGGCATATCATCACTTACAGAGATGTTGCCCCTACAGTAAAAGACGGAGTTCTTATTCATAAACCATAACGAGTCAAGAATACATCAACAGCATGCAAGACGTGTGATCTCAATAAGCATAAATTGTAGAAAAACTAAGAGAGACGAGTAACACTAAAATTGTGGGTGATCGTAGCAACTCACTGTGTTTTTTATTGAATAAGAGATGGCCTTTAAATAGCCATTGTACAACGTACTGAATTAACAAGAAGATAATAAAATATCTTATCAAATCAAAACTTACCAAAAAACTATCTTATCTAATCTGAAACCAAATAACTCAAAATCAAATAATTCCAGATAACTAAATCGGATATCCCGGATATCTTGGATATCTCGAATATCTCGGATATCTCGGATATCTCTAGAAATTTAAGATTATCCAACAAAACTCCCCCATAATCTTAAATTTCTCCTTCTTCTTTCATTTCGATGCTTCTTCCACCAGAGCGCGATACTCCTCTGTGTACCATGGCCCCGCGAGCCATGCAACGTCCAGCACCCCCTGCGTCGAGGTGGCCGATGCCTCTTTTGGGACACAAAAATACCCGTTGCTCTTTGGTCCACCTTTAAACCCAGAAAGTACTTCATGATGTCCAAATCGGTCATCACAAACTCCCTCTTCACTTCTTTAAACTCCTCAACTAGCTCAGCTTTACTTCCCATCTCACTCTTCTCAATTGATCCGATCTCCTCATCCGTTGCTTTCTTCCATCTTTCATCAAGTACCACCTCTTCAGATTTTATGTCTTCTGTTCTTGTCAATAGACATACTACATGTAACTCGTCAGTGGAGTTGTAGATGTCTTGCTCCTTTGCTTTGTACTCGGACGAGCTCGGAAAACTTGTTCTTGAATACCCAACACCACGTAGTCCATGCACCAACTCCTTCTTTGATAGCTCGGTCAAACCTCCAATGTTTAAATGCCCAAAACGAGAATGCCTCATCATTGCTTCATCCTTCACGTCTAGCTTTAAGCACTTATTTTGAATGATGTTCAGCTCCAGTTTATACATCCGATTCTTTTTCATCTCCACTCGGGCTATTAAACGATCATGCTTGTCCTTCAAATAAAGCACTCGATCCTTCATCAGAACCGAGTTGCCTTTCTCCATCATCTGCCCCATGCTTAAGATGTTGCTCTTAAGTTCGGGAACGTAGTAGGCATTCCTTATTTCTCCAACTCGTCCATCCTTCTGTATAAACTTGATGGTTCCACGCCCTTTTACCGCCACCTTGGAATCATCCCCAAATGACACGAATCCAGCCTTTACCTTGATGAGTTCATTGAAGAAACTTTCTTCTCCACACATATGATTGCTCGCTCCAGTGTCCAAATACCAGATCGAGTTGTTTAGGCAACTCGAATCAAGCTCGGCTTCTGACTTCTCATATGAGCTTGGAGGCTCAATTGTTGATCTCTCGACGCAACTCAAGTTTAGCTGGACCTCGGAGGCAGAACTCGGACGTAGCTTGGTCTCCGAGCTCTGCGTCATCATCAAAATTCCTGCTTCCTCGTCCTCTTCTTCTGTGAGAAGATTCTTCCCTTTTTCTTCACTTCGGCTTTTAGCTCGGCAATACTTTGCTATGTGACCGTATTTGCCACAGTTGTAGCAATTTGCCGATCTGCATTCCTTTGCGTAGTGGCCGAGTTTGCCACACTTATAACATTCCACCTCGGACCTCGGCTGACTTCCTTGGCTACGATCACCTCGTCCTTGTCCACCTCCATGGTCACCTCGTCCTCGACCTCGTCCTTGATCACCTCCATGATCACCTCGTCCTTTGCCTCGTCCTCCATGATCACCTCGTCCTTGTCCTCCTGATCTTCGGCCCTGAGTGTTCCGAGTTTCATTCAAATCAAGTTGCGCCTGTAATGCTTGATCAAGAGTATTCTTCATCTTCCTCCTCCTTTGTTCGTGGGCTTCGAGTGACCCAGCGAGCTCTTCCACTGAGAGAACTGACAAGTCCTTTGACTCCTCAATTACGCATGCAATACTCTCGAAATCATCTGTTAATGATCTCAAGATTTTCTCCACAATTCTACTTGCTGGCATTGGCTCCCCATTCCTTCCTAGTTGGTTAGCCACCTTCTCCACCCGAGTTATGTACTCGGATACTTGTTCCTTATCCTCCATCTTCAAACTCTCAAACTCTCCTCGGAGAGTTTGAAGTCGGATCTGTCTGACACGGTGGTTACCTCTGTGCGCAACCTCTAAGATCTTCCATGCTTCCTTTGAAGATGCAGCGTTTGCAATCTTCTCGAAACCTGACTCATCCACGGCATTGTACAAAAAATACAAAGCCGATTTGTCCTTCACTCGTGTCTTTTCCAATGTGGCAATCTGAGCCACAGATTGGTCTTCGTCCTCCTCGGGTTCTTGGAACCCCTTCTCCACTATGTCCCATAGACTTTGGGAACCCAACAGGGTCTTCATTTGTAAACACCAATTATCATAATTGGTTTTCTTTGACAGTTGTGGTACGGTCATTCCATTCACAACCTTTGCCATTACTCTCTCTTTCTTCTTTCTTCCCCCTTCACAGGCGCACACTGTTTTCCCCTCACACTCGGCACTCAGAGCATATAGCTCTGATACCAATTTGTAGAAAAACTAAGAGAGACGAGTAACACTAAAATTGTGGGTGATCGTAGCAACTCACTGTGATTTTTATTGAATAAGAGATGGCCTTTAAATAGCCATTGTACAACGTACTGAATTAACAAGAAGATAATAAAATATCTTATCAAATCAAAACTTACCAAAAAACTATCTTATCTAATCTGAAACCAAATAACTCAAAATCAAATAATTCCAGATAACTAAATCGGATATCCCGGATATCTTGGATATCTCGAATATCTCGGATATCTCGGATATCTCTAGAAATTTAAGATTATCCAACATAAATTAGGGAGAAAAGGCCTAAAAATCTGTTGCATGTACATCAGAAAATCCTAATAAATAGCATAGAAAACTGTTGTGGGTCCTAAAAACTAGCAACGGATTGATACATGTTACAACACTTTTAACATGAATTGGCGTTCATCACCTAAGAAAATGCAAATCGTGTTAGCCAAACACACTAAAAAAGGAGTACAGAAAATTTGCACGATATATGTTTAACAATAACAGTAATGATGGGAGAATATTTGAAGCCGTTGTACATTTCTACCGAGACAAATGATGAAGTTGTCATAGCATGTGAGTCAGTTAGAATAGCATTAGTAGCAAATTGAGATCACCAAAACTACAGAAGAGACTATACAAATGATTGTTGAATAAACATGGCAATTTAAAGGAATGTGCATCTTCCAAAATCTTCCCAAGTAGGATGTGTTGAATGGTGATGTACTTCAGTGGCCCTTATGCATCAGTGTCAGTAATATCTTCTCTTTGGACTACCCAAATAGATTTCACCAGATGAATGTTGTTCACCCAAAGTGTAGCTGGAGCTGGCTTCATCAACCCTGGTATCCCCAGAGAAGCTAGCTTTTGCAAGCTCCCTCAACATCTTTAGCTCTTTCTTAAGCCCAGCCTTGTGCCCCTTTAGCCACTTTCCTTCAACTTCAATATGCGTGCTTGCAGCTGGCATCGATGTTGTAGGATCTCTTCTTTCAATAACATTGGGACTAGGTGTACCTGGACTTTGCAAAGGGACTACTGTAGCAGTCATGGCACTAAAGGGATCCATATATCCATTTCTATTTCTCCTTTCAAATTCTGTAGGATTGACAGAATGCAGGTCTGTTTCTGGTTGGGAGAATGTGGATATCACACTAGACCAATGCTTGCTTGGAAGGAAAGGCAGGATGAGTCCCTTGGCAGCAAACTTTAATCCATATCTTAGAGAATTATTCTGAGACTGTGAGAGTGTCAATAGGGAATTTACCATAGAATACCATTGATTGGTAAGCTGAGCAATGAAGGTAAACAACAGGAGAAACAACAGGACCAATTCCCAAGTTTTAGCTTCAACTGAGTTTGAACCACTCCGAAGGATAAAGATACCAAACACACCTGCCTCACACAAGAGAGAAACACTTTCCACAACATGGACACCTCTGCTGATGTATGGTTTAGTAGTAAACAGGTAAATGAACTGTATTGATGTGATTATCAATGCAAAAAGGCTTTTAGTTGAAATTGATGATGGGTAAGCTATGGATATTATTCCCATACCAACTCTTCTTAGTAAGTCAAGGATGATGTAGGATGATCTCATGCAACCTAGTACCCTCTTGAATGTAGAGATTTTGATTTCCTCAATGCTGTTTTCTGAACTCATTGTTTTCATTCTTCCGATCCCGCTTTGGCCACTTTCGGTCCACTTGGTTATGGCATTTGGTTCATAACTTTGATCACCTAAAATGAGCACTGGAGGACCCTTCCAATCATCAAAGAGAATTCCAAACCGTGAGAGGAAAGAGTAAGGTAGACCGTTTCTGTTAAACCACTTTCCAGTCGTAGGCCTCCCAATAAAAATGAACAATAACTTCGTGTACCATTTTTCTACATCAGTTACTTGTTTGAATTCTTTGTATTGGGCAAAACTTTCAGAGTAGATTGCAATAATAAGAAGTAGCAATATTGACAAGATGAATGCTACAGGTATTGCTAGTAACAGCACCCCAGTGATAATTCCGCCTGCTGTACCACCTGCATATAAATGTAGTCTTCAAGGATGAAATAGTTCTCTTGCACATGAATTTAGTCTTAAATAAATAACCAGTTCTAAAATTCTGTAAATATAGATTACTGAAATAAACAGTGTTAAATCTAGTTGCTTACCTTTTATTACAAATGTTGATGACTGAGAAAGACAAGGTAGCATGAGAATCAGAAGAAAGAGCTCAAACCTAGGAACTGATAAACTACCTTGAGGTGGTTTCCCTGTCCTGTGTCTTAGGAAGCATATCATGAAAACATGAATTAAAAGTAAACAGCCTCCTCCCACACCAAGCCAGAATAAGTTCATTTCCATGTCCTGCCACCTGTTGGTAAGAAAACAAATCTCAAATTTTCTTAATTAATCCTGCAAATCAGAAACTTTTTTTTTACTGTCTAGAGCTTAATGTTTTTGAACATAAAGGTTAATGTCAAGGCTAACTACCCTTTGTAACTCTCCATTCCTTTGATGACATTGCCAGCCGACAATGGTTCTCCTCTCTGCATGGCAAATGAATCAGTTGTAAACAAGTGTCTATTGTTGTACTCCTTTTAAAGTTGTTGTTAAACTCACCAAGAAATAAGTGAAATATTCAACGGAATCGAGAGGTAGACCATATAATGTACTTGTCTTGCTTATATTGAGCTGATTAGGAAGCTGACCAGATTTGTTGATAATTTCAGTCTGAAATGAGTGTTTGTGACCGATATAAGATAACCCCAGTAACTCAGTTTTCTGTTGATCTATATCTCTTGCAGATGGACCATTACTTCTCCCTCCAAGTTTCTCTCTTTCCAAGTTTGAAGACAAAGTGTCATATTTTTTCCAGGGGAGCTTGTGATGAGGTATGAGCCACCTAAGACCTCTTGTCGTCTCCGAGTATTTGATAAATTGATCAGTTGAAAACCAACTTGTGAGGGCAAAGACTTGTAGGTGTCCAACCATTCCCTGTTAAATGTGTCAAATGTTTATAATATAGCCCTTGGAGAAGATGTATAGAAGAACTCTGAGAAATTGAATTTTTTTTTGTATTGTTTGTATTCTAGTTATGAATTATGGTACCATGCATTAGTTTCTTTACTTACATGTATATTAATCGATGGATTGGAAGCTGGACTGCTTGTCGTTCCCAAAGCAAGAATGCTTAATGCTTCTAAATTTGCCGAGGAAAGAGAAACCATAGCAGCTACCAGTGATGTTGCTATTGTTCCGGCACTGATAAATGAGTACAGTGCAATGGATATTGTAGGGGTGGAATCTGAGAGTTTTGAATCAAACATAAGAGAATACTCAAAAGTCCATGCGCAGTCACTCAATTACTTCTGCATTCTACTTAGATTAACATATTTTACATGCTTAATTTGGTTAGTGGGAAAGGAGGAAAAGAGGGGTAAAGTTGAATAACGTCGGATCTGACTATATGAGATGTATATTAGATACAAACAGGCATGTATTTACTTCTGCTATCAATTGAGGTCAAGTACTAGCTTAGGATAATTTGTTCAAACTTAGCTCAAGCCTACTAGCACAATAAGACCCCTAACATGATAAAATCATAATACTATAATGATTGACATACTATATTATTATGCAGCTGTAATCCAATGTTTTGAAAATTGAATTGATTATTGAAGTCGTAAGGTATTAGTTCAAAGTTTATCATGATTGACTATAGTACATATTAGTAAGTAAATTCATATTTTAATATTATATGATATACTATTTCTGGTCCTTTTTTGTAAGAAATAAGTGATAGTGTATTATTATCACTTGTTTCTTATAAAAAAAGACCAAAGGTAGTATTAAATAATAAACCAACACAAAATTAAGTAAACTTAAATTAACATAAAATGATCATATTATATGTTTGGTAAAATATTAAAAAGAAAGAAAGAAAAACAATAACAACCAACAACATGAATCAATTAAAAAGTTGCTCTAACTTAATTAGAGGTCTCAAATTCGAATCCTATGATGTAACTGGGCTAAATATTCGAAAGAAGAACTTTACTGTCAATAGTATTACTATTTGACTCGAGGAGAATTGTCTCCCATAGAGGAACCTCATGTATGTCTCCTATTTTGACACTGGCTTTTTGGTTATCTGGTTGAAAACTAGTGAACTGATCATTTTCGTCCAGTTATATAATCAATGGCATTATTCATATATAAGTGCATAGTGTCAACCAAAAACGCTGTTGATGCTGAGATTAACAATTAGCTTTGATTTTGAATAATTACAAAGAAATTGTTATATAATAACCGGTTATTATAAGAATCAAAAGGAAGGAAAAAAAGAGATATTCATACAATACTTGATATCAAGCTGGTTAGATGCCAAATTTTCATTTCCTGAAATATCAGTTACCTTCCCCGAAGGAATGGTAACTGACACCTCCTCTGTTACTGCTTGGACAGTCAATGAGTATAAAGCTCTTGATAGTTCCTTTAACCTACAAGGAACAAAGTCAGGAATTTTTACTTTACTTGAATCATAATGAAATATATTAAGTAACTCAACTTTATTACACCTGCCTTATCAATCTTCCTCCCGAGACTTCTACCATAGAGGCCCCAGACCCAGTACCAAAAACTGGCTTTGTGAACTCAGCAATTATGTTGATGTTGAAATCCCTTGTCTCAGTGAGGGAGCTGGTCCTCAGTACCACCTTGGGTTTCACGGGATCTACGCAAAAATTCAGAAATTGGTTTAAAGTTATAGATACTTAGAGGAATGATTTTTAATATCATAAGCACAGATGATAGCATACCATAAAGGAATGTGATAGGAGCAACAGGAGAGACAGGAGTGCCTGTCCTGCCAGCTATGGATGCAGCTTGTAATTCAATTGTGACAATCTCAGTTCTTGATATGTTCTTGAGCTACAAAATGAAACCAATTAATAGAAAGGAATGTAGTTGTCAGAATTCAATTCTTATTCTAATTTTGTTATGTCTTGGTTAAATAAACTTCTTAACAAGCACTTGTAGAAAAAGAATATAAGAAGGTAAAATAAGTTGAGTTTAATGATTATGTACTGCAAGCATAAAACACTTTTATACAATCGACGAATCACAAATCACCTATTAGCATGGCTTTTTAGCATAAAAATCAACAATTTTATCATACATACATGATGATTTGTGATTGAATAATTGTGTAAAACTATTTTACGTAGTTAGTACATTGCTTATTTTCTTAAATAAATTGCACTTTTTTTGATAAATTATACTTATACATAAACTAATTTTAGAAGCTCTTTCATTTATTTATTCAAAAATTGATTTGAACTTCTGTATAAACTAATTTAACAGAAATTTATTTTGTTTTACTTTCTTATTTTCTTCTTCTATAAGTGCTTATTTATTCTCCTAATGTTTATGGTAAAAAGACAGAAGTATATCAGACAACAAATTCTCTCTTACATTAAAACTAAATCCGCGGGTGTCGTTGCTTCCACCATGGAGAGGAGTTAAGATGCCAGAGTTAACATGTAGTGCATTCAGAACTTGCTCAGTTGAGTTTCTTATAGGAATGCTAAAGTCCAAGAAAACTATCAGGTCCTCTGGTTTGCTTGTGGCAACTACTGTTCTTGGGATACCATTAATCTTCAACTCATAAGATGGAACAGATGTCCAAAAATCCACCATCACCGGTCTTCTATCTAAGACAAACCATTTGAATGTATATATGAGTGCCCTTAAAATACTTTTTAGTTCAATAGTCAAAACATGAACATTGCAACCAGAACCTCACCAAAATGAATAGTCAAAGTAGAATCATTGGTCCTAATGAAATGGTTTCCAGCCTGGTCAATGCAAGCATTCTCCACCATTGTGATTACAACACGCCCATAAGTAACTTTTGAGGAGATAATCACTTCAAGGCTATATTTGACACCCGGTGTGATAATTTGTAAAGAGGATGCATCCACTTGGGCAGGACCAGCTACCATGATCTTACGTGTTAAACCACAGTTAAAAATGTTGTCAATGTTTTCAAGGAAAACAACAAAATTAGGATACTTTTTAGCACAATGCTCGTCATTAGAAACCAACTTACATCACAGTTTGACGAGTTTAGGCAATTAAATCCACCTAGTCCAGTGCATGGTTCACTGAATGTGACATCAATTGCTACCCTTTGCTCATTTGTATGCGTCTGTTCACTGGTAATAGTTGCAGTTGGCGGTATTGTATCTATTCAGTGAAAAGGAAATCATTAGCAAAACCCCAAAATGCTTAACTGAAGTTTAGTATTATGACCAGGGAATCAATCTTAAAGTGGGTGAGAAGGAAAGATTTGAGCTAATGCCATTTCTCTTCATTCTTCAATTTTCTAGTAGTCAAGGTTTTAAACTGTCGTTACCATGCAATTTCGTCACAGTTCTTGATATCGTGACAAATTGTGGATAAAAGCAGTTGATACAGCTACAGTTGCGATAATGAACACCCTAAAAACTTGAAGTTGTGACCAAAATCCAGACTTTTTTAAAAACCTTACTAATAATAATATAAAGCTTAATTTGGATAAATTTTCTATTGGAGAAGAACATAAGTAAGATGTAAGCTTTTTTAATAAATTAAAATTAACTTATGCACTTCATTATAGAAATTCTTTACTCTAACTTTTCTAGATGTATAACTCAATTTTAACTTAGGAAAGTTTGATTCATTTTGCATTTTTTTTCTTCTCTTGTAAGTACTTTTTGATAATTTTTTCTTAACAATCTCTAAGTAAATAAATGCTCACCGATGAACCATGAGTAAACTGATGAATTTCTTTCTCCTTTGTTTGTACTGACATTGAGAAGAAAGCTATGCTCCTGATTTAGAGTTAAATTTCTTAACACAATGCCACTTGCCTGGCAAGGGTAAACTTTGCCATCAAGCTGTCAAGCAAAATACATTCATCACCAACAAACTCATGTCACATTAAGTATATGCAATCATTAACAATTAAGGATATGTCAAATAAGCTAATTTACAGAAATTCTCTCCTATTAACTCCTACAAAATCTTATTTCTACTCATACATAAAATAATTTTAACTTATGAAGAAGTTTATTTTGATTTTCTTCTATATTTTTTTTCCTTAAAGTATTTCTAGAGAACTTTATTCAACCTAACCAATCTTTTCTTACTAGGTGGGGTTGGCAACATGGATAAAAATTCAACGTGTTAGTATTGCAACTCATTTTCATACAAACCATTCACCTCTAAATAAGCCTTACAAGATCATATTAAAAAAAAAAATGATCTCTCAAGAGAAATTCCATACCTCACATGAAAATGAACAAGTGTCTCTCTTATAACATGCATTGGAACCATCCAACCTCTCAACTAGAAACTGGAAAACAGCATTAGAAGACCTAGTCCGAGTTGGAGGAACACGGTTGAAGTAAACCAGAAGTGTTGATTCAGCTGAGACAAAGAGCACAGCCACCCCCATGAATGCAACACAAGCAAACATGTGAAGAAACTTGAGTGTAGCCATAGCACAAACAATTAAGCTGATATAACTATAGTAACATTGAAAGACAAAATAATGGGAAGACAAGGCTAAGGAAGAGGCATTTGTTGTAGGTAAGACAACATAATGCAGTTGGTGGCATCACATTTAAGCGTCCAACGTTCATAGCAGCTATAAATGGAAGAGACATTAGTAAAAGCTACAGACAACTACCTCAACTATTATTGTCAGCCTCATAACTGCTTTTTCCAATAGATCACATACCTCATTAACTACTCATCACTTTTTCTCAATCGGAACTCATTTTCTTCTCCCTAAATTTATGGCAAAGAATTAAAATTGAATTGAATTGAAATAAGATGGTATAAAGTCTTTTTCCCCTCTTCCAATCATGATCAGTAACATACTTGAAACCATAGTTTTAAAAACCGGACCGGTCATCGAACCGGTTAAGGTACTGGGTCAGTGGGTCAAAGGTTGAACCGGTGGGTCACTGGTTGAACCGCATGACTCGATTTTTATTTATTTATATTAAAAAATATTCATATTAAATATATTTTATACTTATAAATTTTAATAAATTCATATCTTATTTTAAATTTTAATTTTTCTATATTATTTAAAATTATTTTTATTTTTATTTTGTAAAAAAATACATAAAAAAATTACATGTTAAACGGTATATTAATACAAATTAAAAATATAAATAATATGTACATATATAATATGCTTGCAATTAATATCACAAAATAATATATGTAATATTTACATAGATATTGCATTATTAAATATATAATTTAAAATTAATAATATACTATAAAAGTTATTTAAGTTGTATATATTGCAAACAAATATATTAGAACAAGTAGTCATTGTTATATTTAATAAGACTCCTTGCTTTTTCATTAAGAGATTCAATTTTCATTATTATTTTTGTGATTTATGGTCCCTTAAAAAAATTTAAAAAAAAAAAAGAAAAAAAAGTGGTTGAACCGGTTTGACCCACCGGTTCACCGGTTGAACCGGAAAATTGACCGGTTCAATCCGGTTTGAAACGGGTCGACTGCATAACCGATCCAACTTCAGATTCGGACCGGCTGGACCACCGGTTCCCGGTCCAACCGGTCCGACCGGCCGGGTCGGTCCGGGTTTTAAAACACTGCTTGAAACATTTTTTAAAACACTTTTTTAGATTTTTTTTTAATTTTAAACAAATAGGTGCTTTATAGTTATTTTGGCATTAAGTTGGTAGTAACAAATTTTTTTATTTATAAGAATTACTATTATAATATCATAATTTGAATTTAGGATTTTATGCAATATTATCTCAACTCCCTATTATTAGGTTGACTTAATTAGTAGTAGCTTGGCCATAATAATTTAAGGTTGATTTGGTAGGGATGAAAAAAATAAGTGAGACATAAAGTGAATCAAAATAAAGAAGAGGAAAATAAGTAAATAGAAATGAATAAGAAATATAGTGGAAATAAAAAAATAATTTAAAAAAATAATAAAAAAATGAGAGAAATAAAAACTAAAAAATGAAAATTTAAAATTGGTTTTTAAATTAAATGATTAATTAAATCAAAATTTTAACCAATTAAATCAACAAAACAAAATTATTTAAACCAACAAAACAAACATTTTTCTTAGTAAAGAAAGTGTGCACCAATAATTTTTCATGCTTATTTATGAATAAATAAAAAAGTACGAGAATTATACATTTATTCCCTCATTTCACATTTATACTCTTTCAAACATATCTCCTTTTTATTTTTATTTCTCGTCCATTTTCCCTCTCTCTTCTCTATTTCTCCTTTATTTCAAACCAATCATAGGAACCAAAAGACAAGAAAACAAAACAAAGAGGAAGTAAATAAAGTGTACTCAGCATGCCTCGGCCTAGGTGTTATCCATTATTGTTTAGTTAAAGAAAAATGATACAGCGTCCGAAATTTTTGTTCCGAAAAACATTTCAAAAGATTAAAATATTAATTTAAATTATAAAATATTAAATTAAATAATTATTTTATAATAAATTTATTAAAAAATACTAATATTTTAAAATTTGGACGGGGATTCGGAAAAAGAATGGAACGATGTATCTTCACTCTTAGTTAAATAGAAATTGAGAGAAAAAGAATATTTTTATATCATTTGATTAGACAGTGAAATAGATAAAAGAGAAAAACTAGTGTAGAACCTAAAAAAACAAATCCTGTTATGATAAGAAAAAGGATATTACTTCGATACATGTTTTACGTTACATATCTTCTTTATTATTGTCTAATGATATGTAATCATGAGTATTTAATTTTTTAATATGTAATTAAATATCATTTATTTATTAATATTATAACTAAGTCTTTATAAATTATTAATAACTCTTTTAATTTTTTTTTTATTTTAATCTTTTTGTTTTCCGCTTTTTAAATTTAAATAATTTTTTTTCACAGAATAATTTTAAATAACTATTTATTTTTAATTATTAAAATACTAACTAATTAAAAATGACTAAAATTATTATAATTTCTAAAGTTTTAATTGAAAACCATAAAATAAATATGTAAATATATATTAATAAAAGTACTTGATTCCTATATATATATGTATGAATATAGATATATTTTTTATTATGTTTTTTTTTTATAATATTATTTTCTATTTTTTTACAGCTTACTTTATATTATAAAATTATTAATATATTATCACTGTAGTAATATATTTTTTTTAATTTTTTAATTTATATTATTTGTAACGACTCGGCTGGTCACTACACACTGCCCAACAAACCAGCACCACACAGAAAGAACAAGTATATATACATATATAAACATCTAAAATATATATATATATACACAAGGTCCAATTCTGGGGCTTCAACAAAAGAGAGAGTACAATTACAGCCCAAAATAGCCAAACTATTGGCCCAAAACATCAGAACAACAACAAAATAAAACTCCATCTGCCAGCTACAGACCGACCTCAACTCACCAACCTAACCCTGCTCTGCTCCCATACAACGTATGATCATTGCAGTCCAAATATATGGAAATAACAAAGGGTAAGCAATATCACACAACTATACAACATAAACAGCAATATCACACAAATGCGTCGTCACGCATATCAGCTCGGAGATCTCCTACAACAGCTCAGCCTTACGGCCTACAACAGCTCAGCCTTACGGCCTACAACAGCTCAGCCTTACGGCCTACAACAGGTCACAACACAACACAGCTCAGCAATATACATCTAATATAGCTCAACATCATACTTCAGCATTATCAACTAGTCAGCACAACATAGTCATCAATTACAGCTCATACTCAGCATAAAACAACATTTTATCAGCATACAGTTAAACATCACCTCCGTGCTCGACGCACTCATGGTTGCGCCAGCGCGGTACAACCAGAGAGCACCAGGGGCCAATGCGCCCGATGCAAGAGTGCTCGCGCATGGCGTGTACCAACCAGAGAGCTCAAGGCTCAAAATGCGCCCGGTGCAAATCCAATTGCACACAGCGCAAACCCAGGCAGAGACTCCCCGCCCGGTGTGCCTAATCCCGCGCTCGGCACAGGGAAGGCAGAGACCTCCCAAGGTCTCACGCCCGACGCAATTCAAATTGCGCCCAGCGCTCCCTTGGCAGAGACTCACAAGGAGCCTCCACGCCCAGCATGACAGGGTCGCGCCCGGCGCCGCACTAGAAGCCCCAAAACATGCCACATACTGATATTGCGCCCGGCGCTGTCTAGGTCACGCCCGGTGTGGGCCATCCAGAGGCTCACATTCTCAAGCTCGCTCAGCGCACACATCTTTGCGCCTGGCGGGCTTGCCTAAATGGAGCACCCTGGTGGTCACGCGCCTGGCGCGAAGAACGGTGCCCGGCGTGATGCTCAACAACAACTCTCAAACTTTCGAAAACTTCATCAAAGCCTGCAAAATCAACCAGAAAACCAACATGCAATCCACCCAAACCTCCACATTTTCATCAAACGTCACGAAAAACACCCCATTTTCAGCATGCAACCAACAAACAAGTAAAACCCCAAATTTTCACCCAAACCCAAAAAAAAACCCAAAAAATGAATTTCTTCAATCTCAGCCCGAAATCATCAAACCATCAGCCCACAAATGAGTTTAAGAACTCATTCCCAACAAAACACAGCCAAAAACTAGCTTCCCTTACCTCGGTGAAGAATCCGAGCTCCGGGAAGAAAGCAAACTTGAACAGAGAGAAAATGAGAAGAAGGAGAAGCTTGAACGAAGAAGGAGGAGAAAAGGAAACTCCAATTACTCAGTTAGCAACCCGAATCTACTCCGCACCACCACCTTGAGATAGAAAATTAAGGAGAAGAACAAACGGAAAATGAGATAGTGAGAAGAAAGTGAGTGAAAATGAAGGAAAGGAAAAGAGGGAAGGGTCTCACAACCTCCCCAACAACAAGAGTTTTCATCCCCGAAAATAGACTTACTTGGGAAAAGAAACGGATATCGCTCCTTGCACTGCTGCTCCACTTCCCAAGTATCCTCACTAGTAGCTGCATCCCACAATACCTTCACCAGAGCAATGGACTTGTCCCTCAACTCCTTCAGCTTATGGTCCACCACAGCTACCGACAACTTCTCAAACGTCAAATTCTCCTTCCCTGCATATCATCCAGCTCCACCACATGACCAGGGTCGTGGACATACTTCCTCAGCTGGGATACATGAAATACATCGTGTGCAAGCTGGCACTGGACGAGATGCCAGATGAGGTCTACGATCATGACTGGGATGTGGTCATGATCGATGGTCCCAGAGGGTACTTCGCGGCAGCGCCGGGGAGGATGGCGGTGATATACTCGGTGGCTATGATGGCGCGTGCAAGAAAGGGATCGGGAGTTACGCACGTGTTTCTTCATGACGTGGATAGGGAGGTAGAGAAAGAGTATGCGAAGGAGTTCTTGTGCATGAAATATAGGGTTGGGGGTATTGGAAAGCTTTGGCACTTTGTCATTCCACCCGTTGATAATGCTAGTGATATCACTCATGGCTTTTGCTGAAATTAACTATAGTAGTGTCGTATATTTTCTCTTCTTTTATGTCTTTAAATATGAAATATAAAAAGTTGTGTGTAACGATTGTTCTACGTTTTGCTTCGCAGAACTCAACAAGTTTTATCATCTCCAATTCGTGTCTATTTTTTGTTACTATACTTCCTCATGCACTAGTATATCAAAGTTTATATCTAGCATGCATTTTGAGATGGGTATAAAACAGGCAACGTTGTACAATTTTGGAAGACAAAAATGTCTATTAACAAACACGTACCTACAAAAACTATTAATTTACTAAATAAATAGATTGAAGTCAAGTAGATATTGTATTTTAGAGAATAGTTAGAAATAAAGATATATTTTGTTCATCTCTTCACTTTGTGCAAGTCTTATTTCAACCGAGTAATATCTTCTAAATTATGTAAACTACTACGATACACTTTTTTTTACTCCAACTTTATAATCACGAGTAAGAACTTCAATCTCATAGCAACTCTTTGTAATACTTTCAATTTTGTGAGGATAAAAAGATGTTCAAAATTGAGCATCAGGTATAAATAAAAAAGAAGCACGAAGCACCAAGAAATCTAATATGTAGTAACTCTAACAAAATAAGACATGTTTTAAAGAGTCTTTTTTAGTCCCTATACTTATCTATTAAAATCATTTTTAGTCTTTATGGTTTAATATATATATATATATATATATATTTCTCACAAAATTAAAGGTACCACATTAACATAAAACAGCCAAAGTTACCAAAAAAAATAACAGTAGGAATTAAAAGGATTAAAAAAAACTATAAATATAGGAATTAAATAGATATATCTTAAACCATAGAAACTAAAAATGATTCAAAAATATAAGTATATAAATTAAAAAAATCTATTTTAAATTATAAAAACTAAAAAGTAAAGTAAGTGAAATTATAGGAACTATAAATATAAAAATTTAAAAATATTTATCTTAAATTATAACAATTGAAAAGGATTAAAAAAAGATAAGTATAAAAATTTAAAAAAAAAATATTTTAAAGTATAAAGACTAAAAAATAAAATAAGTGAAACTATAAAAATAAATAATAATAATAATAATAATAATAATAAATAAATAAAAGCTAAAAATTATTCAGATATTAATGATCTAATGTGTTCAATTTACAATGTCTTTTACATGTATAATCTATTAATTAAGTTACAATAATAGCAACAGGCCTAAGAGCACAATTGACCATATAGCATAAATTATGAACCCAAAATTCAATAACCAATACTTGTGGAAAACTTTTTTTTTTCTATATTACATCTAGTTTATTCTATAATTCACTATACGAATGGGATTCATATTCAGAAAAAATTTATTGATTTAAATCTAAAGATACATATATTGATAACATTAAAATTTTTCTTATTACATGATGTGTGAATGTATTGTAAAGAGCAGTTATCAAACTGACTCTGGGTTGCTAACTCTAGTTTACTAAATTGACTAAAGTTTAGTTAGTTAGTGAATACTCAGCTGTATTATATATAGTGTTCTACATACTGTAAATACAACAATTTCATATAATACAAATTTAGTTACAAATCTGTTACTCTGTCTTTTCGTTTCTCTCTCTTTTCTCACATGGTATCAAGAGCTTGATGATCATCAATGGCTGAAGCGTCTTCGCTGCAACTTTCGTCTGCCCTAATTACGTTTGCGCACATGATTTCGTCGAAGTTAGATGAGACGAACTTCCTCATATGGCGTCAACAAGTCGAACCAGTCATCAAAGCTCATCGACTTCAACACTTTGTTGTTTGTCCAAAAAATCCACTCAGATTCTTGAATGAAACAGATCGAGATGCAGGAAAGCTCAATCCCGAATACATCGCCTGGGAGCAGCAAGATCAAATTCTCATGTTGTGGCTTCAATCTTCACTTTCTCCTACGATTCTGTCTCGCGTTTTAGGAAGCAATCACTTGTATCAAGTTTGGGACAAGATTCACGATTATTTTCATAAACAAACTCGAGCAAGAGCTCGACAGTTACGAACCGAACTCCGATCAACTTCTCTTGAAGAAAAACCTATGGAAGAATTTCTTCTTCGCATCAAAGCTCTTGTTGATGCGCTAGCGTCTTTTGGAGAATCAGTTTCCTTATAAGAACATGTTGATGTAATTCTTGAAGGTCTCTCACAAGACTACAACTCTGTGATTTCTGTTGTTGAAAGTAAATTTGAAACTCCTTCAATTGAAAAAGTTGAAGCTCTTTTGCTGGCACACGAGATGCGACTTCAAAAATACAAGAGACTTTTGTCAGAATCAGCGTCAATAAATTTAACACAGGCTCCAATAACAAACCCTAACTCTGGTTTGCAACTGAAAACTGAGTCTACAAATCAATCTAATCAGTTTTCACAAGATGTTGATATGGAAATGAATGCTGGAAGAAACACCTATCGTGGCCGCGGAGGTCGACGTGGACGTCGTCGCGGTGGAAGGTTTTCAGGTGTTCAGTGTCAAGTTTGCCATAAAATTGGTCATATTGTTGCATATTGTTATCATCGATTTGATCAAAACTATCAACCTTTGATGGCTTACAATTTTCAAGGAAGCTACTCTCAGAATCCTAGTTTTTAGAACTCTGGTTTTTCATTTAACAATCAGACCGGTGGATTTCAGAATCAGTTTAATCAGCAACAACATAACTCTATGGTTCCCAACTTCAACAATCAAGTGAATCGAAACATGAGACCTGCTACTTCTCAACAGCCTAGTGTTATGGTGACCAACACAAGCTCAACTAGCAATCCTACAAATTGGTTTCCTGATTCCGGTGCTTCGTTTCATGTGACAGGAGAACAACAGAATATTCAACAAATGAGTCCTTTTGAAGGACCAGATCAGATATTCATTGGCAACGGTCAAGGTTTGCCTATTCATTCTTCTCGTTCATCCTATTTTACCTCTCAAAATAATCCTAAAATGTCTCTAGCTCTACATAATCTTTTACATGTTCCTCATATTACAAAAAATCTTATCAGTGTTAGTAAGTTTGCTAAAGATAATTCTGTATATTTTGAATTTCATCCCACTTATTGCTTGGTTAAATCTCAGGTCACCAATGAAGTGTTGGTGCAAGGAAATGTGGGATCTGATGGTTTATACTGCTTTCCTAATCTTCAGCTTCAAGCTGCTCCAAGCAACTCCTCAGCATTCATAGTTTCTAATAATTCCAATACTGTAGTTTCTGATGTTGATGTATTGAATAATGTCAAGTCTAGCTCTCATACCTTATGGCATGCTAGATTAGGTCATCCAAATTTTCATGTTCAAAAGCTTGTTTCTCAACAATGTAATATTCCTGTTGTGAATAAAATTGATGGTTTCTTTTGTAATGCTTGTTGTATGGGCAAAGCACATCGTTTGCCTTCCAATTTGTCTGATTCAGTGTATAAAAATCCCTTGGAATTAGTGTACAGTGACTTGTGGGGACCAGCCCCCATACAATCTTCGAATAATTACAAATATTACTTAAGCTTTGTTGATGCTTATTCTCGTTTTACATGGATCTATCTACTGCAAAACAAATCTGATACTCTCACTGTGTTCAAACAATTCAAAATGATGGTTGAGTTACAATTTAATACTTCTCTTAAAAGTATTCAAACTGATTGGGGTGGTGAATTCAGACCTTTGTCTAAATACTTAAAAGATTTAGGTGTTAATCATAGAGTTATATGTCCTCACACTCATCATCAAAATGGAGTAATTGAAAGAAAGCATAGACATATAGTAGAACTTGGCTTAACTCTTCTTAGTCATGCGTCTCTTCCTTTAAAATTTTGGGATTCAGCATTTTGTACTGCTGTTTATCTTATCAATAGATTACCAACTGCCTCACTCAAATATGCTGTTCCATATACTATTTTGTTTAGACAG